TTGCAAACAATAAATGCGTTATCAACATATCGGCGGCAGTAGGTTGTTCAATTGAAAGCAGAACTCAGTTGTGCCTTTTCAAGGTAGCCCATGAAGATATCAGCCAGGATAGGTCCCAGAGGCGAACCCATCGCGACCCCATCAATTTGTCGGTAAAGATGATTATTGAATTTGAATTGTATATCTTCTATGCAGAACAGCAGTAGTAATTGTAAAGCTTTCATTTTGGATGCGTTTCTCTTCTCTATTACCACTCAAACATTAAAGTATGTTATTATCATCTATATAACCATTGTAATTTCAGGTAGTCTGCAGATGATGAGAACCAGTGAAATAGAATGATATCATTTTATACTACTGAGAATTATTGATATTTTCAGACAAAAACTATTCAGCACTCAGGACACTATTCGGGTACCTAATTATCAGGTAAACTTAAATGTAGTAGGCAATAAAAGACAGACTAGAACGTTGTGGATTTATAGCTCGACCGGCAATCAGCCAATACGGCAGACTTAATTATACAGCAGTTTGGTCATCCAGTTCACAGTTGGCTAATATAAATATAATGAGAAACAGTCCACAATATATATACGTATATAATTTACCTTTACCTCCCTTAGCCATTAATAAAACTGGTAGAGAGGAAAGGCTGGACATCAGGCTAGTAACCCAATTCTGTAAAAATAAAGACTGCTACAGAAACTTTAAGCCCTATGTTCCACTGGGAACGTGAAGGATTAAAAAATGTATATCTCTGTTCTTCTGCCAACCAGCGAACGTTAAAGCCAGAACAGAGATTACCGCATCCAACTAAAATTTAACTAGCTCGAATAGCCGAGGTTGTCGAAATTTTCTTTCCAGACTATATCTTATCACTTAGCGTTCAACATCGGCAACCTTTTCAGTGCTCCTGAGACATGGTGGAGACATTCCGTGTCATTACATCTACTTTTGCTTCAACTGAATTGTTTGACATCGGTCGACTGGCTTCTAGAAGTATAACACCTGCAGGCGTCATCTATCTTCGAAGTCAGAAGCTTTCCTGATTCGATCGGAGAATCAGTTTACTGATCCTATGCTTTGCTATTTTAGTAGTGATAGTGTTGTCTCTTTACGGACTGGAGTTTCGAGCTCTAGATCAAGTCTTCATTATTTTCCAGTTCAAAGGCTGCCTCGTACTGATGGCCTGCACATTTAATGCAACGACACATTCTAATGTATGTGTTTTCCGTTCGATTGTATTTTATTGCAGAGTTGAAGTCCCAGCATCCTCGTAGGGATGCGAAAATCTCGCTAGAGCATTGTAGGAGTCTTAGTGACCTCTGAAGGCCAGCAGGAGATGAAATCTGGCAGAAATTCGCACTGGCTTGCTCTCTCGATACACGAATAATGCCGAGATTTATTTCAAAGTATTAGCCGGAATTCACCTGAACCAAGATGATTGGGCAAATAAGGAAACCAGGACCAAGATAAGAGTCCTTGTAGAGATTGAGTCGGGTGGGAATAACTGTAGATACTAGGCAAAGAAAAGATTATGAAGCAAAACTATTTGGTTTAGAAACTTAAATTATGATAACGCCGAGATCAGTTATATATATATATATGTATATATGTATATATATATATATATATATATATATATATATATATATATATATATATATATATATATATATATATATATATATACTAACGGGAGAAAATACTGAAATCAAGTAAATGAGAGTGACGCAGAATGTAAAATGTGGAGTTAAGAGTAGAGTGGCCTGGGTTGTTTAGGCATGGCAGAAATAGGCATACCGGAATAAAAGATTTGAAATACATCTAGAAGTTAAACAAGAAATACCTTTTTTGAGTACAATAGCATCATATTGTCTTATGAATACGAAATTCAAAACTAATCTGCTGAACTCTGAGGAGATTTCATCATACTTCCCACTTATCCCGTTTTATGAGTTACTAGCAGCCTCTTCGGTAGCCCAAGAAATATAAAATTAACTTCTGCAAAGTACACTAGTAAGGATAGGAAGTAGTGTAAGACTCCTAATATCTATGAGTCATAAAGAAAAAAGACACTGTGAATGTATTCTGGAAAATTATCCAGTATAGTTGGAAAGATGACTATGCAAGACAATTACAGACTAGTGTCTCGAATACCTGGCAAACTCAGGCTACGCAACTCCTTTAAAGTGGTCTTTCGACATTTTCTATAAACTGTGTCAGGCTCCAGCACTTGTTTTTTTAGGGAGGCACTGGAGGTTCTTCAGTACAACCCCAAAGTTTGTGCACAGAAATAGCTTTTCTGGTCTTTTATTCAACCACGGTCTTAATCTCTTCCCTAGCAGATTGCTTTTATTTTCTGACTGTTAGTTCGCCTTTGTTTTTAGTATATAATTCACTATTTTTGAGCTTATATGTCCCTTTTGCACATTTTTTGACCCCCTCCCCCTCATACTTATCAAGACGACACTCAATCACTTTTATTCTGAAATTTTTCAACAAAATCAACCGATATACTTCCTGAATTAAAATATTTATCAAATGAATTAACACTTCGTTTTTAATACCGAACTCTTTTTAAAACCATCTGGCCTTGTGGTTCAGATAATAAGTCAAGAACTCAATTATACAGGAAACATAACATGCAGACCGACTTTACTCCTTCATTAATAGAAGTGTAGTAACTGGTAATATTTTTAGGAAGTAGCTGACAGTATTTCAAATGCCAGGTTTAATGCCTGTCCACAGCACCACTGTGAAAGGTCTCACAGTAATAACCTAAATACACACAGAACATTTTTGAACATATTAGGTGCTCACGGGGCCTTACATTTAACTGTTATGTGTTAAGCCATTTACAAGGCATTGAAATTAGACAACAAATGTCAATGTTTGCATTGTAAACAAAATTTTGTCCATTTGAATGCTATTCTGGATAAAAATTGCATTAAACAGTTTTAGCGCTGTCCCCATTGTAATCATGTGTCAGACTGGAGATGACGTGTAGTACTGAAGAATTAGACACACTACAGATTTCCGCGACAGAATTTACATCTCAGGGATCCTGCGGTTGGAAACAATATAAAGCGTGGAAAATAACCATAAGGACACTAGGGAAACAGGAACGAAAGTTCAGCAAAGCTTTCTTTTCCACGACACTGCTCTCAGACTCTGTACAATCGTTTATATATACAAGTTTACATGGATGCAATTATTATTTAGTACCTTATAACCGCGTATGAAGTGAAAATCACTTAATGTTGATTACTGTTGTAATAATAATGGATTTTAGTTGATGAGGGCGTGTTGACGTTAACGGACAGTACGACGTATATGAACTCAAGTTCTTATACCCACAACTCTTATAGGATTTGCTCGGTATGGACCGAAGAAGAATCAAAATACCAGACTGATCGTCCAAAATACGAAGTATATTTCAGGGCCGAATTCTTATACAAGCTCCAAACCGTACCTCTCAGCTTGTTTTTCTACCACACCAAACATCAGTGGTATACATAACATGTGTGAGATAGCTTGATTTGTCGTTTGGCAGTGATTAAAATAAGATACAGATGATCTGCTCCTCACTTTCTCATTATCAGGCTAAAAGACCCCGAGAGCTTTTACAGACTATGAATACCCTATAGTCGTCTGACTTAATAAAGAAGTGTTCAGATTCTTATGGATGCTGATCCTTGGCTCTGTTCATCTTAGATACTAATGTCAGTGCAGACGCTATAGAAATCTAAGGACACTGGTGGTTAAGAAGACCTAGTGGCCTAGTCAGAAATTGAAATGAAGTGAAACATTTTTTCCAACAACAAAATGAAGACATTTGTCACACTAGACTTCTTCATCTCTTTTGCTATTACTGATTCGAACTTCTGTTTCACGTTTACATATGAAACCGTTCTCGGCACTGTCATTAAAAATTGCTGCAATTGAAAGAACTTGTGACACTCTTATATGAGGTCGAGTGAGAATATCGATCAAGACATCAGCATCCAAACGTCTGCCATTTCTTCCAACTACTATATCTCACGGCACAAAACGAAGGTTAACTGAAAACCGTAGCGGAAACTGTGTGTGTTTAAACAGGTGATTAACTTGGCTATTCACCTTTATTATTGACATAGACGTTAAACAATGTGCAGATGAATTGAACAAACTGTCCGTCGTATAACACATCCTCCAGTAAATAATATTGTTACACTGTATGATATATCAAATAAACAATTTGATGTAGAATTACATATTACCACAATATTCATGTTCTACACATATATTAACACATTGTGCTTTTTTTGCCTTAAAAAATTTCCAAGTTTTTGCTCTACTTCATGAAGGAGAAGTAGCGTGCTCATTGTCACAATCAAACAAAAAGGTAAACATGTACATCTCATTCAGGTTTATTCAAATGCTGTAACTGAAACTGTCATCCTAATATGGCGAATATATCATATCATAACTAACCCAAGCAGTTAAAATGTCTCTCATTCGCTGAATTAAACTTAGTATTTCGTTTTACAATTTTCGGTTATCTTCACATTTTACTTTCGTGTATCGTTAGGACTACAATTTTCGGAACTTGGTAATCTCTAAGATAGCTTTCACTGTAAGCTATGTTTAGCAAGACAACCACTTATGACTAGTGATAACGTTTTCGTCTCATTAGAGACTTTTTTAATGTCCAGTTACACGATTTATTTTTCAATTATCCATTTCAGTCAGTTTACTTTCTTATTAAAACAGCCTTAGGTGATTTATTCATTCAAATTGAGTTAAGTTAAAAGTGCACCAGCTCAAAACTACAGTGAAGTTTTCATAAAACAGATCTTTTATTGGCAAATGGAGCTGGATAGGTGTTTTTAAATGATGTGAAGTTTAGGATTTTCAAATTAATAGAAGATGCGTTTGTAGCATGTCGATTTTCCTCATCTCTCTATGATATACCAGCCACTTTCGATGCAAATAATTTTCATTGTCTTTTTTGAATTTCAGAATGGAGAATGAGCATAGCGTTGAAATAAGTAATCTGGAACAACACTTTGGTCTAAAATTGGTTGCAGTGGGTTCTTTAAATAACTGTCATCTGAAATTGCATAAATATCATATTCATTCTTTTCATTAAGTGTTTGTTTCTGAAGAGCTGGAGGTGGAGGTGGATAAAGGAACGGAAATTTGTCACTGTTGAGAATGTTATTTCTGTCCAGTGTCCAGGTAGTATTTTCCTGAAAGTCATCTTCATTAATCAATAACTGGTTTCTGCGGTTTATTTTATCGTTGTTATCATGCGTAATTTGCTGAGTGGAAGCAGGTTTGGTATTCGAATTTCTCTGTTTGTTTAGGGTATCAGCAGAATGCTTGCTAGAATGCGACACTTTCTGAAAATTAAATTCACTTCATGTTAATTGTTTAAAAAAAGAAACAGTTCCTAGAATAAACGTGAATATTATTCAGCAAACAGCATAGGGTAGTTAGAATGCAGTATATTAAAATTAAATCAAGTACTTTCATGATGTTATGGTCTAAGCAACATTTTAATATACTTTGTCTATATGAGGGCCAGTTGCAAATGTGCTGCACTTGAGAAAATATATGACGCCAAAATTATGAGCATAGAAACTATACAGTGCCTATTAAGACTGATAATAGTAGCTGAAAATAACTCATGTCAACTAAAAATGTTAGTTCATCATGTTGTGGTAACTTAAATATCAAACGCACGTTCCGTTCATGCAGGTAGCTTATACTATTTACCCGTTTGAACTTGATAAACCTTGGTAGACTTCTGAAAGCCCTGGTGGTAATAGGGCAGTGCAGCTTTTTGATGTCTAGGTGGATTAGTTTTAGGCTGCACACACCAGTGATTGTTGTCAATTTTTGGTAACTACTCACTTTATCTAGCAATGCATGTTGTTTGATAAGTTGCACCACAAAGAAGTGATTATCATTAGCCAGATATTTTGTAAAGTTTTGTGCTTTCAAGTGTTTTTCCCTTTCACAGTATTATTCTACAATATTTTGTTTACTGCCAGTCACACAATGAAATTAATTTGTGCTGTAACGGCTGAAAAGCTTATAATTCTTAAAACTCAGTTGCGTTTCAACCTTAAAAGTACTATGGCTTATCGTTAGAATATCCTTGTTTCTAAATGAACTAGTCGACCTTGGTAGTAGTAAAAGAATGTCTGTTTTATTATCACCTAATAGTTAAGAACGCATCCTAGACATATATTTACTAATTAACAAATTTTGATCACTGAGGGGAATTTCACCAACTTACTTGACAAAGAATGGTGAAATTAAGTAATCTGAAGATGTGCATGAAAATCAGCAGAACAAAGAATTCTCCCCTACATCTCACCAGGTAGGACTGGAAATCATTATAAAGGTTTATATGCTTGTACAACTAAGTACAAAAACCCAACAATACTCTATTTGGCGGGTCTTCTATGTGATAGAGATAGTGTTAGACAGGAAATCTACAACTATGTTATTAGCAAAATAATTGGCTCTTTTATCCTCTCCTATTTGTAGACTTATGGTGATTCTATTTCACTTAACTTATAGTTTTAGCTATTAACTTTATTCTCATTATTCCACACATTTTGCACACTTTTGACTTTATTGTCACTACCAGCACTAAAAGCTGCAATTATCCATCCTGGTTACGTATACCCTGTATTTTTTTATTTTTGCTGCTGTCGAGTAAGTCAGATGCAATAATGTACCAAGTTCTGAGAATTTCATACTGTATGATAAGTACTGTTTAGGAATAAAGCAAAATAATAATATTCTTAATCAGAGGGCTGTCTAATCTGCTTCGACACATACCAGTCAGAAAAACCCTAGTATACTCTGAACATCCAGAGATAATCTAGGAAGTTCATGCCATTAATATTTGGTTACTTTAACATTAGTCTTTTTATTCAACATCTGGTTTTATTCTGGCAGTTGGGAAGTGCACGTCCTAATAAACCGAAATTTCTCATAACTAGTGATGGATTAGTCATTGAAACCATTTCTAGTATAACTCCCATGACGCTAAGATCCGCTAAAATTCAAATTGCATTATTGGGCGTGGTGGCGTATGCCTGTAATCTAGCTACTTGGAGGCCAGGGTGCGGAATTTCGCGGGACCGGGAGTTCTGGCATATGGCTGCTCATGTGTGCGTCGGTGGCACAGTGGTTAGGACTCTCGCCGACCATGCACATGGTCCAGGGTTCGAGCCCACGCCGGCGCACACCTGATATCTATGGTCGGCCTGCAAAATTTGAGCTACCGATATCCATGCTGAAAATTCCATACTTGTACCAAAAATACAGTGTGGAATCAAGCTGTAAATAAAAAATTAAAAAAATAAAAAATAAAGAAACTTATTAATTTAGCTGCCTACCATTCGTTTTTTCGGAAGATCTGTTTTGAAGACTTTGTTATCATGCTGTACATCAGTATTTCCATGAGTTAATTCTTCTGAACTTACCTGTATAAAAGATAATAATGGATAGAAAAGTATGTGAAAACATTGAGGACTAAATAATCACAAGTAGAATCATTAAAATTCTGTTGTACCTAAAAAAGCATTAGACTTTAATAAAGAAGAATAAATAAGTCTAATTTTCCAAACTTCAGTAAAGTACACAAAATCAGAGAAAGGTAATATAATAAGACAAAAAAGTATCATGACGTACGACAGTATTCGAGTGATAAATAAATGAATACTAACGTGTTACACTTCTTACAAGGCCGTATTAGTTAGAATAGAGTGCTTTGATTAACATAATTTGCTTTCTCAACAGTTCTTCCACAGCCAGACACTGGCATGGCACTTCTTGATCGAATTCTATCTTCATTTCGAGAAATACAGAAAATGTTGTACTATGGTACTCCAGAATATGTTGAAGGGCATAGATTTGATCAGTGGAGTTGATCCTTCTTTGAAGTACTAGTTGTCATCTTCAATACCCATTTAGATGAAGCTAGTATAATTAATTTCCACACTTTATCACTGCACCGCCTTACGAGGTTCATATTCAGTCAGTTGACAAATACCTCCTTATTAATTCCAGTTTGATAGACTGTATTGAAAATGTTGTCAGACAGACGCAAACATTTTTTAACTTTACTAAATCTATTGAGCAAATGGTGTCAGCTGGCTGATTTCCTTCACTTTTTGTTTATTGAATACTCATAAGTTAATGGTAAGAACCAACACTTACTTTTATTTGTTTTTCTTCTTGTGAACTGAAATCACTTCAGCACAGTCTTCAAGAATTCGTTCTTCATTGGCTCTCAATCACTATCTGAGTTAATATATCTCGTCTATGAGCCACTACCTTAGTTTTTCTGATTTCTGAGGTGAAGTTTAATTCATTTAGTTAATACTGTGAAAAACTTATTGTAGAATTCCCAAGCATGTTTAGCTAGATTTTGATATGCTAAGTATTATAGGTACAAAAAACTGAATAAAAATTCTCCTTTAAAGGTGTGTTAGGACATAGAATATACAGTTTGATACTAGAACAGATGTGAATTAACTATAGTGTCCGTACACTCCACCCAAGAAGAAGATAGTCATTAACATGAAGGCGTTCACTTAGATGAATAACACTATTCGCATCAACAAATCGGATATGTCAATAGAATTCAGGTACCCCTGGGTTCAATAGTCAAAGTATCATATTAAAGTACAAAAGAGGCAAACAAGGCAACAACATAGCGCAAGACAGAAAATGAGTAAAAACAAGGAAGAATAAAGCTTAGTTTTAAGAGGAGGCCTATTACTCACATTTCTGAACACGTTTCATAGAATCTTAGACTAAAGAGGTTACAGGCATTGAACAGTGAGATTACACGCCATCTGTTGGACACTGGTCATGTGTGGCAGGGTCTGAAATAGTAAAGAGGCAATCACTGTCAAACAGTTAAAACGAAATCCATACATGCAGAAGACGGTGGTCAAACTCACAATACCTTATTGATCGTATTTACAAAATTTATTTGCAGTTTTATTATACCATTTAATCTTCTAAATCTCATAATGTGTCTCAGAATTTCACTATTTCACCTGAACGTTATTTACCTTGCTTTTCTTTCAATGGCAAAATATTCTTTGTCAAATTTAAATGCTATTTCTAGTTGGACTTCGGTTCTACACAAATTCTGATCTTTGACACTTTTTAACAATATTTGTCTAATAACCCTAATAATTTATCTATTTTAACCATTCCGGGCTTATATTACCAACTCATTGTCAGTGTGATAAAAGTATGTTTAAACTTTTTTTCACTTATGCACTTTAATATTGTCTAGGCTGCAAGCGGTTAGAAAAAATTTATGAAGTAGTAAAAATGAGTTCGCATTATCTTACTATGTTTGTGTTTATTGCTTTGTTCAGGTTGCTAGAGATTCACAGGAATAAAAGGGTGAATATGTTATTTTCTTAATACAGCTTTGGTTTGATAATCTTACTGATGATGGCTGTGAGAAGTGATTTTTATGCATAGTGGGGCGGACATTTAACTATCTTATTAATCACTAAGGTGGTTTTATTGTTTGTTGCATAACTTTGATCGAGAAATGTGGTTGAGTGGGGTTTGTAATAAATGGTCACTGAGTTCAAACATTCTAGTCGAATAAAAAAAACTCAGAATTCTAATCTTCGGATCTACATATTCACTTGCGTATTTGTATTCCCACTATGAATTAGTGACTTTCAAAATGGAACCCAATCGAAGTTTAATAATATCATGTGAAATTGTGAAATTTTTGTTTTATCGCTGCTGCAATGAGTATATTCAATACAGTTTACTATATGCCGATTTTAATATTGAGAAAATGAACACAAACAGCTGTACTTTGTTTACATTTATAAGCGAGTGAGAAAAAAGTCTGATTTATTATTATTCCCTTAGGTTCCAAGGCTTCAACAGCACATGTCCACTTTATCTTATTCTCTCCAGTTCTCTTTAGCTGGTCCCACGATTGCTCAGAGGCTGTCATTTCATCCTCACAGTGATCCCTTCCATGTCAACCTCAGGGGCCCACACGTCGTCTAGCATTAGGGTTCCACCCGAGGGACTGGTATGCAGTGTCACCCAACGGTATCCTCGGCGAGTGTCCGATCCACTTCCATGTTCTCCGTCACTTCTTTTAGCAGTGAGTTTTTCTATGGTTTGTCCCCATAGTGTCTTGTTCCTAATTCTTTCTGAACATCTGATCTTTAATATGGAACTAAGGAGACATCTGTTGATAAAAGTCTGCAACCTTCTGAAAGTGCTTTTCATGACGCGAGCGCCAACTGCCTGATCCATATAGAAGAACTGACTTAACACGTGTTGAAAATTTGAATCTTGTCTTATATGCTGAATGCAAAAGATTTCCAAGCCGATTTCAGAATGATGAAAGTTTTCTTGCCTTTTCTATTCTGGTTTTGACATTCACATCTACTCCACCTGTAGTTGAAACCTTGCTTCCCAAGTAAGTGAAAGAAGTAACCCCTGTTAAATCTCTCCCGTTGATGGTGGCTGGTGCTGGTTATTGCTGATGTTGGTTGGTAGGTTGGTCATCTTCATCACCTCCGTCTTCTCTATGTTCACCTTAAGTCCTGTCTTCACTACCAGCCTCTTCAGCCAGTTTTTTGGTTTTAGCCTGAAAGTCTCCTAGTTTGTGTGACATTAGTCACATATCATCTGCAAAATCCAGATCTCCTAGAGCCTTCTTGTCGGTCTTTCAGCGTATACCTGTCTTCTCACTCCCAACACGCAGTCTGACGCATAGTCCAATCCACCACAATGAAGAGTAACATCGGTGGTAATGGGCAGACTACCTTGTCTTACTCCTGTGTTCACTTCAAAGGCTTTGCTGAGTTTTCCGTTGTGGATCACCTGACACGTGGCAATGTCATATAGCCAGCTTTTGAATGAGATTGATAAAGGCTTGAGCACTGTACGCCGTAGTATTGAAGCAAATTCAAAATTACTATAACGTCAACTTTTCAAAGTCGACAAAACTGAGGTAGGTTTTTGACCGCCATTCTACGGTGTGTTCATTGATGATGCTTGGTGTTGCAATTCGATTCACACATGATACTTCTTTTTCCTGAATCCAGCTTGTTGAGGCCAGAATTCTTCATCAAGTGCATCTTTTATTCTCTCCCGGATGATGCATAAGTACAATGTAATGGAAATTAACTTCAGAAAGGAATAAAAATAGTAGACTTAGAAAGTTCCAACAACTTACTTCATACACAGAATAGTCAGGTAAACTCTCTTCATAGTAATCTTTATTACCATTTATTTCTTCTTTAGACAGTGATAATGTTGAGGATGATGTAGATGTTGACGATGATGATGATGGTGATGACGAAGATGTATCGACTTTCACTTCAGTACTAAACAATTTATAGACTAATTTCTCCGTTTTATTTACATCCGATTCTTCTCGATCATTCAATATTTGTTTATCTTTATTATTATCACTTTTCTTTTGTGCTGACAAATTCTTTCTGTTGATTTGGAATTTTTCAAACTTATCTGATTTATCATTTTTTGCAGAGACATGTAAAGGACTACTATGGTTGATTATTTCAGTTGTATCTGTAGAAACTGTTGAACTTGAAGTTTCCATAGCTTCAATATTATTTATATGTTCAGAATCACCGTAATTGGCACTATGAAAATCAGTGTCCTCAATCTTATTTCCAATATAGTTCACTTGATTCAGTTTGTTATTATCTGGTAAAGGTGGACGACCTAAGTAGACTGCCCACCAAAACCAAAGAATTAAGCTCAACGCAGCATGGAAAAGGGCTCTACCGAAAAAGAAGACCAGGAAGAAGCTACTTAGTACACTGATACCTGCACACAGACCAACTGTACCACCTAAATTACTAATTAAATTGAATAATGTCTCCGTTAATTCTTCTTCCCATGCATCAATCAATTCCGTAGAAATACGTATATTGACTATAATTAAATTTTTGGACGAGAGACTAGTTTCATCGGTCTCATTTGTTGTTCCTGTTGTCAATGGTGACTGCGATTGCTCATCAGATTGCATTTTATTCCATAAGTTTTGCAATTCAGGGAAGTGTAGTTTACTGGTTTCAAGGGCTTTTATGTAGTGAGCTATGACTGGAACTGGTAGTGTCATTTCGGGATCCAAATCTGTTATTTCAAAAAACTTGGTTGAGTAGATTCTCTGACATTTTAATTCAATAAATAAAAAAATTACAAAAAAGCTAGATATTATATGCTTTTCTGCCAACAATAGTAATGATAATGAAGTAGCACGTGAAAACTACAAAGTAAACTTCTTTGAAGAACTGAGCTATACAATATCTAATTCAGGATGATTGTCTTTAAGCTGAGGCGTCCTTCTAGCTAAATAGGCGATGTGCCTGCAAAATGAAATGCGACACCATACCACATCAAATTTAAAGGATACTAGATTAACTGTCTTTCGCCAAGCACTCCAGGTAAACTAGAGAAGGCTAACACTTGATGGTAATGTAGTTAAAGACACTTGGCTTTGGGAAGTTTTATACAACTACCTATATAGTGGTGCAGTGTTTCACTGAATAGACTGGCTACATAACTTGAATGATTTCATCTTCATTTATTATATTCTCGGTACTAGGACTCTGATTTTATTTACAGAAGTACTGATATTTTACTGAAATAGTTATCTTCTTACGACCTTCTACAGTAATATACTTATTCATGCTACCACATTTCTTAATGGTACTACAAGGAAAAATTAAAAACGACAATGTGAAAAGTAAAAGAAACTGATCATGACTAGCATTCCTTTGATGGTATGATGTCAACTGTTAAGTCAGCAATATTGCTTGCTCGAGCAAAGTATCATCGAAATAAATTCGGAAAACATAATAATCGTAAAAGTAGACCATTCTAATAATTTACTTCATACATAGAACGGTTAAATGACACTACTCATACCTTTTATAATCATTTGATCCATCTTTAGAGAATGATGAATGGATGAAGGCGTCTCTAACGCATATTCCGAGTTTGCTTCAACGCCATTTTGCGCTTTTCCGTTGTGCTGTCAATACGCAGGTTCCTCGAGTTTGTATTAAAGTCATTTCCGTTAGATAAGTTCAAAACCTTATTCTGTGGATAATCTTAGCCCTTTATTTTACTCAAATAGATAGTGCAATTGAGTACTTTTCCACTAACAACCAAGTCTTTTTAATTTGTGTTTGATTGTCAGTACTTACAGGTTAGGTAGAGTACTGAATTATTGGGTACACAGGTAAATTGCGTTATGTAAGGACTGGTAAAGTGTAGCTTATCAACAGCACCACCAGTGCATATCGATAAAAAAACGTGTCTTCTGCGCAGCACTTCTCCCCGTTCTTCTTTACAGCTATGAGACTTGGCCTTTGTAAGCGAGCTATACGAAGATTCTGTGAACATACGTCTTTGTGTTTAACTTCCTGTTTCAGGTGATATAATATTTATCTGTTTTTGTTTTATTCTTTGGCATTGCGAGTGGAACACAGAATTTAAATCTTTGAACTTTTAAGTTTCAGTAGAATTGGTGTTATTATTTCTTTACGTAATATTGTTCTAGACTCACTTCCAACCTTTCCTCTTTATAGGGTCTTCTACTGGCAAAGCAAGGTTTAGGAGTGTGTCGGCCGGACCATGTGTGCGGTCGGTGAGCATTTTACCGCTGAACCACCAACGCTTAGGAGGTTTAATACAGTAAGTAATATCGAGATCAGGGGTAGGGGTCATGAAGCTGCATTGGTTGAGATAGAGAGGCTACATCTTCAACCATCGCCTTCTTAGTCGAACAGTGTTGGCTGACACAAGACTGGGTTGGAAAAAATAAGGGTGGTCAAAACGAGGGCATGTTACCAATGTATGGAGTCTTTGACTGTTGACCTGAGCCACATAAGAGGATTGCTGGGACTCTAAGAATCAATAGCTGGAAACTGTTAGCAACATGTATCAAAATAGCTCTGAATGGCACAGCTGCATTCAGTCTTTTTGAGCTCGTAGAAGCATTACTTTTTCATTAGTTTTCATATGATTATCCTTACACCAGTGCTTTTCCGTTTACCAAGCTTTGTTTGCATTACATTTTTTTCGTTACTTTTATTTACGCTTTATGAAATGAATAGCTAGAAATAACTCACATATACGACAAATTTTATGTTGAGAATTCAGTTTTATAAATCCTGCTGCATGGTCCTGTTCTGATATTTAACAGACAATGTTTGCACTGTCTTTCAGTATTCTATCCGTTCAAATATCATCAAGGGTTAGTCTGTAGGGATTTGATTTGTTTCACGTCTGGTCAGGAATTGATGTAATTTAGCAAACTATTGGAAAACAGGAGAGTACTCGATGGCTGTTTCATCCTGGTTTGGCACTATTCATCAATACACACCCATCGAGGTTTGAATCCAGTCCATTACTCCCTGGTTTCCAACGATTCTCCAACTTACATGAATCCGTGATCAAACTTGAAATATTTAAAGATTCTTGATGAAAGGTTTTTGCAGAAACAGTAAATAGCAGTCGATCAAACAAACTGCAAAACATCTAAGTCAATTTAGATTTTTCTGTTGATTGATTGAACCGAAGTGCTCAGTCTCAGGCTGACATGTCGGTTTCCTGTGCAGATGCTTCAGTGATGTCTGGCCACTTAACTTGAAGTCAACTGGTGGATGAGGACTAGCAGTAGAATCCAGGATATGCGTCTCATCCTATTCGGGACGTCATCTGGATGTACCTGTATTCCCCAGTGGGTGATAGTGTTCCCACCGAGACTCCATCTCAGTGTCCATAGTTTCAGACGCGTAAAGTTAAAGAAAAGAGTCAGGACTACCAATATATCCCAAGGTGCCAAGATCTGTAGTCACCTGGAAAAATGCATCTATCGCGAATGATATGATTTCTCAATGGATTATCCTTGGATTTTTTGTGAGACATACAACACATAAGAGGTAATTATTCAGTGTAATATTATATCTGCAATGTTTTTAATACAATTTTAAACGGCAATGTAACTTTTACGCATCTGAATTCTGACTGGTTGATCAAGGTCACTTTGAATTTGCCTATAACAGTTTAACTTACTACAAATATTTCTGTGTGATGCTCAGGAATGAATGATACAACAGTATAGAATGATTTTTCAGTGAATGGACTTTAATTTGCAGGAATTTTATTTCTTAGTGATTCTTTTCTCAAGGGACCAAATTTGATTTAAATCAACTGGACGAATCACAACAAACTAAGAAGTAATGACTGGTTATTTCGTACTAGATTACCGGCCTTCCGAAGAACCCATCAATAACCAGAAGGAGAATAAAACCTAGAACCCTCAGAACACGAGGTGAGGACATGATTATTTATTGCAGTAGATTAAAACTCAGTCGCCCATGATTTTTGGCTTCTGTTAGTTCAAGATGCAGAGCTACAGATAGACTTCTCTTCTTGCCGTTGACTACATTCATTGTAACTTCTCTTTCAAATTCTGAAGTTAGTCAATGATCAACACAGACGCACTGGCTAAATCCAAGTCACGAATATTTTAGTGTGTGCACTGCATAAATTCTGACTTACCAATACTTTGTGGAAACTAAAAATCCTCAAAACAACTAAAAGAGTGTTCCAACTAAGTAAATAAATATGCAAATTACAACTTACTTTTTCGCACAGTAATGAACAAACTTTATGTCTTTCTATCTTTCTAGCATCCAAATTATGTCTGGTTGCATACAATTTGTCTGGTTGTACAAATTTATCTAACACAGAGGTAGTTGGCATTTTCTGATATTGTTCAAAGCACAGAAATTCATTTCGTAGACGATGTGACGTTTTATGTCGAATATCGCGGCAAAAGTGAGAGAATTTTTGTATTGATTCATCTTCTTGTTTTTCATTAACATTAGGATTGTTCATAAGATCAGCAGTGTCATAACTACTACGGTAGACTGAATCATTATTTTTAGGATCTTGAAATGGTACGAATAAGTGATCCGAGTAACAATTACACTTTTCATATATATAACGCTGTTTCATATTAGCTATACAATCTTCATAAGTATAACGATATTCTAAGAAGTTTGCACCACCACGGAAATTAGTATATCTTTAAGTTAAATATGTTTAAATTAAAAAAGACAAGATTACTTGCGTAGGTAAAAGCGGGTTCAGTAATAAATGTTTCTGAGATAAATACTTTAGCTATACAATAGGAGACAAAATTTAGTCGAATCGTTCTGTGGCATAATCATCTTTCAAGCCCAATGGGTTTCAGGGATACTCACCACCCAACTTATATAATTTTTTGGTTGGAGGATTTCATCAACAGCTGAAATCATATAATAATTACCGTTTATATATCTGAACAGAGGCAGAACAAACACCGGTGCAGAACAATATGGATCCATTTTATTTCATCTGGCTCTGTTAGCCATGTACAACCCATACTTTTATTCGACTTTGTATATACTAAAATTTGGTTTCCCAATCTTACGATTTCTAATCAGAGTATTTTATCATCACTGACTTATCACCACCCTTATAACAAAACTGCTCATTTTTTACGGGAGACTTATATATATATATATATATATATATATATATATATATATTTCAACACTCCTTACTGGAGGACTGACTCATGACGAGAACTTATGCAATAAAACGGGTCTAATTTATTCCGCACTAATGTTTGTTCCATTTTTGTTCTATCTTATTTGATTTTATTAGTAAGTGATTTTTCACTAGAATCGCAATAAAGAAGAGACTAAAGCTTTAAGGGACTCGTGAATTTGTACGGTTCTGTTACTAATGTAGGCAACTCGCATAGTATTGTCTATGCAAATACTAAAAATGCCCTTTCTAAATACAAAAAACCATGTTTAATTTTATGAAAATTTTAGTACGCTTACTAAGTCAAGGCTTTTTGTCTGACACTTTGGGACAAAACTAAGCGTTATCTTTAGTGCTACGTAATGAAAAAATGAATTCCTAGTATTATTTACGAGGTCTTTAACAGCCTTAATTTATATGAATTGAAGCACTCTCCGTGACTGGTCCACTGGTGTAAATCTGACTTTTACATATTTGATCATCATACTGATTTTAAACTGTCATTATGATGGATCGAATAGGCTTAGGGAATGTTACAGACAAAAAAGATAATGAACAGCTGTTTGGCTCTATTACGAAACTTCTTTTAGTCCGCATCCAGTATCCGAAGCGCATTAAGTACTGGTAGCAAGAGCCGACCTGAAATCCATTTATTCCCCAAATTTACGATCAACAGTTACAAAGTGGTAATCGGCTGGAAAATGAATCCCAGAAGTCTTCATAAAAAGTAGTGGTTAGTTAGGTAAGTTAAACCAAATGTGAGTAACATGTGTTCATGTGTGACATTAGTTAGTAGCAGTGCTTTATCCTGAAATGACAGATTTAATAAACAACTGTCATTTAACCTTAATGTACACTCTAAGGCTTCTCATTTGATCTTAAATATGACTCTGAGTGCACGCTTCTGAAATGTCTCAATCTGCGACAAAAAATCGGTTCTCTACTCCATATCACTTCATTATTAAAATTATTTTTATTCTGAACACTTGTTTTACAACCTTTTTAGAAAAATATAAGGAAAGTTCCCAGAATTATACTGATAAATGTAAAACAAATTGATACGTTAAAAAAATATTGAGAAAAAACTTTCGCAGATATCTTTTCTATATTTTCCATGTTTAATATAACTCTAAGATGAACCTAAGCATCGTACTGATATTTAATCACCTTTTAATTGGCAGGCCGTATGTGTTATACAGTACAACAAAATTATCCAACCGATGAAGTTTTAGATATTACTTTACTACTTATTAGCTAAGTAAAAGTGATTGTGCACCTTTTAACTCCTTTTCCCTACTATAGCTGGATACTTTAGAGTTAAAATGTGTGTAGCTGTTCCAACAAGAATATGAACAATAAATCGCCAGCGAAACTTTACTCAGCGAAGAAATATATTTCAACAATATGATAAATTTAAAGATTAAAAAAAAATTTTGATAGACATTACAGTCGGCAGAAATTCTTAATGAATATCAAAATTATTAACCAAACTTTTAGAATAAAGCAGTCACATGAACTTTAATGTTACGCGGATGGGATCTACGTGACAAGTGGAATTTATGTTTGGAGATTCAGGCTGCCACTGCTTACAATCAACTGTATTGATTTGGAAACATTTATACAACACCTTTATCATAATAATTATAACATATTACTGTGAAATAACAGATCAAATTTGTATCTGATCTGGTTCTTTTTTGTGTTGTTGAGTTTTCTGAGCTGAATGATCTAAATGAGAAGCTTTTATTATCTCTCTAGACGACACCTTCAGGGGCTTACTTCATTTTGAGATAATTGGCAACAACAAAAATGCACTTTTTTGTTTGTCTTTCTTTTTGACTACTTGTAGCACTGTATGATACCTGATTACGTAATTTTTATTCATGTGTCTCCCTACTCGCTATTTGTATCCGCTACGCCTTCATAACTGGGCGGATTTTAAGTAACCACTCGACACTACAACTCCATATACAACTACATAAAACCGTTAAAACTCCTTAGAAGCGGGTTATTTGCGAAAAATGGATAACTATCGACGGTTAAAATGAAGCAGTATCTCTACAAAAATATTTCGATCCCTATAAACAAAGATTAAATGTTTTTCCATTGAGAAATGACATCTTCATGAAATTAGGTCTAATTATTGAAGTAGTTTTTGTTGGAGTCTTCCAGACTGTTATTTACATGATGAGTATTTGTTGCAGGACTTGAACCAGTGGTCCTGCAGTTGTATTTAAGGTCTGAAAACTTGAATCCATCTCAGAATTTCTCATTAATAACTGGCTACATAGTCAACTGCTGTAATTCAATGTGAGTAGAAGTGAGACATGAATTCGTCCGTCAGCGAGCTTACCAATAATGGACGAAAACTTACGGATTGGCCCTCCATATATATATATATATATATATATCAGCTGCAAGAATATCGATCAGTGGAGAGATGGATTTAGTGATCAATGTTTGTGAAATATGGAGATAATAAAGGAAGATGAAGAATCACAATAAGACAACACAATACCGAAGATGTGTGCAGAGTGTGCTTCTAAAATATAGCAGACATGTTTTCCCTATATCTGTGTATCAAACTGCCAGTATACGATTCCGTTGCCTAATTCTTTTGTATTCTGCTGTTACAATAGCACCAGTTCTAATTATATTATTATTATTATATCCCTTAATTCCTGGAGGAACATAGGGCTTCAGCTGCGCACCTCCATTGCCTTCTGTTTTCTGCCAACTTTTTCACCTCGCTCCAAGTCTGCCCACATGCTTTCATCTCCTCCTCGCATGAACAGTTCTAATACTGTTGCGAAAATACTGGTTTCTTAAAATTAAATTATTATTATTAAATTATCAACATAGGGACTTGCATTACTCCAGAACCATCCAGATTCCATCATGAAGAAAATTAATTTGATAAAGTCTCACAGTGTTATACAGTAATATTTACTAATGACGTTTCGAGCACAATTTATTGCTTGTAATACTATCAAGGTACTCACACAACTTTCTAACTTCGTTTATATAATTCCATGAACTAATAACATTATATGGCTTTATCAAACAAATTTTCTCTATGGTGGAATTATCCTCTACCACAATGCCCAAGTTCTATTCATATATCGAATTGCCAAATGCCCAAACGGAAATTATACTCACCTCTCATCTCAAGAGATCATCACATTATAACGAAAACTGGTGTGAAGCTAGCCACCACTCAGCTGAACATTTTCTGCACTTTGTAAAGTATGATATTCGATAATGTAAAATATGTAAATAGATAAGTGGTTCATGTTACTTATACCTGTGTCTGTTGTCCCTCAAAATCAGGTAGACTGATAAATACTTATATTGTCCCTCCTATCTTGTTTGAATGCCAGCTGAAATTTCAGGGGACCAAACATAATAAACGATGTGGTATCTGTTTTATTATTTGACGCAATTCACCATATAAAATTTCAGGAGCGATTTTAACTGTGTAATGTGCATAAACTCCTATTTTCAATGTCCTAGTTATTTACAAATATAAACCTACTTTTTAGGCTCAACTAAACCAACAGACACTAACTGAAATCAGTTCTTGATCTGGTCCAGTGTATATCCCCCCTCTCTCTCACTTTTAAATTGCATGTTATATGATTCCCTAATTTCTTTTCTGGAATTCCCTTGACTATGCCGGAAAACTAACAAATCCCAAGTCTAGATATAGATAGAAGTCATTCGCACAAAACAACACTGCTAGTCGGATAGACCAGAGTAATATAAACACCGCGAGTCCTCTTTTTTTCTTTTGGGACAGATTGCATAAGCGGTGTTTTCAGGTTTACTAATGATAGCAGCTGCAATTTTATTATTGTTTTTTTATCATTTCGAAAGCACTACTTGTTGTTGCAAATGTCCTTCAAATACTCGTAACAGTCACTAGCATGTACCGTTTCGCTCAAAAATATTCCTTCACTTTACTATGTAGTATTTTATTCTCTGGGTTGGAAAGTATAGACTTTTACTCTAAGTCAGGACAGACAGAAGATATATTATTAGTCTAGACTTCTAATATAAGCTGTGGATTAAATATTCTCCTCAGATTCGATCAAACGTTCCACTGAATTTTCGTTACGATGCCAACTAGTTAGAACACAGTTTCTAAGATTTAAACTTATAGATTACTTGTCATGTAAAATAACTATACAAATAGCTTTCACTTCTGGAAGTTCTTCCATTTTTCTGAAGAACAAAGGTTAACTTCCAGTCTGTCTGCAGCGTATTCTCAATGTGAGAAGGGTATTCGAGTAGTTATTCATAAGCCGTCAGGTGTTGAAGTTCCGTCTAGTTTGCTATCAGTCAGTTAGAAGCAATCCTACATCAAGTATTATCCAGTCACTTGAAAACTGATTTTACTATAATTTCGTACTCTTGGAACATACGAAGAGATAAGATTCAAAAGTTTTTACATTTACTTTATTACCTAACTACAGTATCAGCTTTTTGTCAACATAATCTAGTGTACTTGTATTGAAGGCAAAGTGTGACCAGCCTAAAGCCAGTTTTATCAGGTCTCTTTTAATCATAACTCAGACTTACTATATCTAACAAACTTCTAATCTCCTTAAACTTTAAAAATTACACTTGAAGTAGATGAATAACGAGTATTATGTAAATAAATGTGAAGAATTGATTAGTATGATTATTTGGAGATTAAAACTAAATACTATTATAGTCACTGTGAGTCAGAAATATAATGAGTTCAGTAGCTTTTGAAGTTGAGCCTGTGGACGGCTGAGAAGTTAAAACCGTGATAAAATCGTTCTCTGACGATTCTGGTTCTGAACAAATTTTTATCTTATATCGTTTTCTGGTGAAAACTACACCAGAGCCTATACAATAATATTTTACTACTAGCCAGTGGTTGACTTCATTGCAAATTCCTAGAAATTTTGATGAAAATCTGTAACTTGGGTAAGAGAACAACGACTCGCCGATGACACTAAACGATGGTTGACTTATACCTGGAATCGAAATAAAAAGCACAGCTTTTTCCATTGCACATTTGCAGCTGAACAGCAGCAAAGTCATAACACTGTTGAATTCCATATGAACTTAGGGATTTACTCTTCTGAGCGAATGATAATTATGAGGAAACAAATGTTTGTTGCACCATTATTTTTATTTGTTTACTGATTGACGTCAATTTGGCTTGGAAAACACTTTGAAATAAATTAACAGTGCGTAAAACTAACAACCCAATAAGGTATTCAAAAGTAAACAAAGTAAAAACTTGCCTGTATGGATCTCTCTGTGGAAAGCATGACTTTCGACCAGTCATATCTGATTTATACTTTAAACCAGAAACATCAACAGTAGCCAGCTGACCATATCTTAAAGCAAAACTAGTAGATAAATAATTAAATGCATAGGTTGGAAATGTATCAGGATTATGCACAATCACGTTGATTCCATCATAAATATCTGAGGAAAATAATTCATCCTGTCAAAAATTACCAAATAAATATGCACATGCATAAGTTCAAAACTGTATAATGTTCTTGAGAAAATTTCCTGGTTAGAATAGGCGTGTACGAAAAAACCACTTCCTTTATTTTTGCTTTATCCTGTAGTATAGATAATTACTCCCTTAATTATCTCGAAAGATAACATATCATCACTAAACCTATCCGCTCTGTCTTAGGATACGATGAGTTAATGAACAGAAAGAAGTAACATTTCACGAGTGATCTTTAGTTTATCAGCTTCTCGGCAAGCTGAGTTATTAAGCTGTGATTTACATTTAGACTGGAAATCGGAAGCTAGATTTCACTAAAGTAATCTGATTGGTTTTACCTAACTTTCTGTGGGTTGAACAAAAACTTTTATGAAGTCTATTTCCCTCCGAAATTTACATTTATAAAAGAACAGTACTAGGGGAGATATAAATTTTTTCAAAACTTAAACTGCTTTACGCTGATCATCCATCACAATTATTTACTATCTAAATTACCTGTCACTGCAGTTGAGGTCAGTTCTGAATAATAAAAGTGAAGTAGTTTCTTAGGATGTATCACATGATCCTTGACATTAGACAGTGGCTGTACTAAGTTAATAACTGTGAGAAGTTAGATGAAATGAACCTCCAGATTCTAGGTGAGTTACTCAAGAAAGACGTTCTTGTCAGTAAGTCTAGTAGTCCTGTGCTCGACTATGTATTGGATCTTAAATACACATTGTTTTACAGTCACCACATTGTTCTGAAGTATCATCACCTATCTTCTGGCTTTTCAAGAGTTCTTTGGATAATATCGACTCGTACCACTTTGTCATCTCACTCAGATAACTTCTGCAAACACCATTGTGAAACATTCACTGAACAAAAGTACTCTAACTGAACTAAACATTTTCCGTATGATTCTGTCATTTAATAATCCGAGATATACTTAAAGAAGAATATTGATTCATTGTATGCTGAACTATTCAAGACCCACAAGGCAGCCACGTTTTTATCAACTTTTGGATGAACTCTCTGAATCTTTAGACTACACTGCTGAAATGCTCTTTCCAATCTCTGATCACTGAGTTGATTTCCTATTATCGGTAATTTCATTAGGAAGAAACTTTTAGGCAATAGCATTTTAATTCATAAATAATCCCCATAATGACATGAAAGAAAATTCATAAACATGAGATATAGCTCGTGAGAATGTGAAAACCTTAAATGAACTTCGGTTTCAAGGGTGACTTAACCTGTGACCTCCTTAAGATAACAATTTCAACATCTCTGAGAAGAAAATTCTTCGCAGCAGTGTTGTTCGCCAGTTACCCAACGGTCTTTAGAAACCTGAAATACATGATCTCGCATCTGACCATTGCCATATGCTTATGTCAGCTTACCTTTTCCTGTGGAGCCAGGTATGTTGGTCGTTAGACGAGTTTCCTGTCTAAAATACTCCAAGAACTCCATCTCACAAGACTACAGGAAGGTAGCAGTGGCTCTATAAGAAGTACAATAAGTAAACACCTTGTCAACATCGCCCATTCTGTCTTGATGAATTCTTTCACTGTGATCTCCAGATTCAACAGCAACCTCCCGAAGACAGCGAATTTCCTCATCCTGCGCACCACTAAAGTTCTAGTCATCCCAATGAAGAAACTGGAGCCGTGCACACAAAAGAGGACTCTTCAACCAATTCTACCATCATTGTAATGATCTTATTTTTTTCAACCAATTTGTTTTTTCTTGTATAACTCCTTCCAACCCTTCCATTCCTCTGAACTCTTACGCAATATCATATTTCTTTCGTTTCTGTGTGGATCCTGATTACAACTCACTCATTAAATTATTTACCTCATTACCTAACACCAACACCCTTATTCATCTTTTCTTATGGTTGATTAAGACTAGAAACTATGATTATCCCTTGTGAAAAACTGAATATAAATGCTGAACTACCTTCATTTTTCAGTAACATTTTATGATGCCATTCATTATTGATTACTCACTTGAATATGTATTGCGATTATTTCAGCTTTACTTAGTGTTAAAGCCTCACATCGATTAAATCCTGATAGAATCTGAAAGTTTGCTGGATAAAAACGCAATTCCAGAGAGCAAAATAACCATGAGTATATGCATGATCAGTTGATAAAACACAGCATTCAACTTACTTCAAGATCATTTAGCATAACAAATGGTTTTCCTCTACTATGTCTTTTATAAAATATAAATTCTAAACCTTTATTTCCACTGATGACTTTATCGTTTGGGGAAAATGTAAAACATTGGATGTAACGTAAATGAACAATTTCAGTGAAATTGTAAAATGAACAATCCTTATCATTATACTTGCAGTAAATGAAATGTTCATAGGCTCTCATAAAACTATTCTCTAAAAGTATAGTGATTAGAAAACAGAAAAAAGAGGGAAGGAATTAGAACTTCAATTTCATTCAGATGTACCAAACTACTTAATTTGAAGATAGTATTTTAAAAATGCTATAAATTCTGAAAAACAGAGACCCATCTCGTTAATCCGAAAAGAAAAACGCTAAGAAAGTAGAATACAAATCTTGTCTTTCCGGAAAAAATAGTCGCTCGCGACTTACGAAACTACTAATTGATATGAATCTTCAGTATTTCAACTTGCTCAAATGTGATTCCGTATTAGATAAGTTTATTTGATTTAACATGGTGATACAGTATTAATAATTACATAACTTCCCGAGTTCAGTTTATCGCCCATAATCATATGGTATGTTTATGATATGATTTGAGCAGTGAATTGTGCTCGGAACGTCATCCAGTTATTAAAACTGTATCACTGTGTGTTTAATCAAAGAAAATTTTCTAGTATAGAATAATATTCCCCCAGAATGCCTAAATTCTACTCCTACATTAACTGCTCAAATATATTCCACAAACAAACTTAAGCACGACTAAATCACCACTTGATAACCTATTGAATTGCTTATCCAATACTTTAAGTAAGTCACAATTCAAGTTTGATTACAGATCGATATCAGTTAGACACCCACGGAAAATCAGAGAGTACTGAAAAGTTGTTTCGTCCTGGCCTGGGACTGCTCAGCAAAAAGTGCACCCATAATGTTTCCAAGAATCAAATCCAAGGCATTCAGATTACTCTGGCGAGCCCATTGACCAATCAAATCTCCGTAAATGAACACTGGAAAATATTCCAAAATTACTGATATCTTTCTAGGACAGTCAAAGTTCACTAAACATCGACTGATTAATACCAGGTTGCATAAGATAAATTAATGCGTTATTTACAATAACGCAATAGGAAAACATTTTGCAGAATAAGGTGAATTCATTTTATTTCAAGGGCTTCTCACCAGCTACATATAACTATATACAAATATACCAGCAATGAATATGACGTGACAAATTACTTTAAAATGCTTACTTCTGATGAGAGATGAATAGTTTTTTGTTTTAAATGTATATTCTTCGTTCGGATCGACTTCCATGATATGAAAGTTTTCAGACTCTGAACTCAATATTAAAGGTTAAAGGTTGTCAGCTACATGCCACTTAACCAGCTTGTTAATATTTTGGTCGACAGGCACATGGACTCATGTGAAAAATGGGCTAAATCCATTTTATTTAACTCACAACACCCCCATCATTCACAACTCTCCCCCCCCCTTGTATCTCATCAGGCAAAACCAGAAGCCTATATAGAAAACTATATACTCGCACTAGTAAGTACAAAAACTCAACCATACCCTGCTTAGCTCGTGTTCTGTGCGATAAAGAAAGCATTAGGCGTGAAACCTTTAACTTATCAAATAGTCGGCAGAACAACTGGATCTCGTCTTTCCGACTCATATCATTTACAGGTACAACGTTTTCTTTCTTTGTTTTCCTTTTCTCTCCCTCTCTCTTTTTCTGTTATGTGCTCCTTTGTTTCTTTCTTCCGCTTACGCCAGTAAATATGCTAGCATCTACTTTTCTAACACCTTCAAACACTGTTCAATTTCAGCTTTGTTGATATGCCAATAAGTTGTTGTCATAATGACTTGAGATTTCTTTAATCTATGTAGAATTGTAGTTATTGTTAATGTACTAACTGCATGCAGTACTGCGAATTCCATTCGGTATTCGCAAATGCTGTTTTGGAATAAAGTTTATTATTATTAAATATTCGTTCACATTCCCACAACTTCAAAATTCTGATATGCATGTAAACAACAAGAGACAGTGAAAAGATAAAACAAATATCAGCTATCATAAGAAATCGTCGAAGTAAGAAAATAAAGATTAAGATACATCTTTTAAAGTTTAAAATGAGCTAGGTGTTGAATTATCTACCCTACCGAGAATAAAATGAAGTTTGAAGCTTTGCAAAGTGCTTTGATAGTTTCAAATATGCCTGTCATTGATAACCAGGGTCCAACTCAATCTAAACTACTCACTTAGGCTTAGAATAAATATAGTAAAATCGTCCAAATTAAAAAAAATCTTGGTTTAGTTGAATAGTTTTATTTATACTGTTTGTGTATTTATCAAGTATTCCCGTGTTAACGAAAATGATCTTAAACTCACGGAAATTTGTGAGTGTTATTTTCAACCATTTAGCTGTATAGTAAAACCTGTAAAGTGATGGAAAACAACACTATGATCCTCTCGTTATTTTAGTATAAATGTGAAGAGATCCTGAAAATATAAGAGTGATAACTAAGCAGTTAGATCCTTTAGGAATCAAGGGGTAGATATGTTCTCATGAGATATACAAGTGCGCGTCACACGAAATGATTTTGAGATATCAGCTATTGTTATGTGTGAATTGTAATTTCTGACTGAAATGTAAAGTTTATACACTAAATACAGTTAAACACAGTAAATGAATTTAAAAGTATCTTAGCTTTACAGATTTTGAATAAAATGAAGACAATAATCAGAGTGATTACACCTATCAAACAAATATAGAGACTGGGGCCACGATTTCATATAGAAAAATGAAAATAGCCACTAGTTAATATACTGATTCTAGTCTCACTTAACGTAATACTTCTTTGGAGTATTCCGGAACATCGTTTTCAACTATAACATTAAAACAAATGAAATTTACGCATCATAGTATACATGATGTTCCTAGTACTTTCTCCTGACGAGTGTTGAAAAACACATGACTGTTAATGACTGGAACTATGACCTAGTAGACCATGAGCGAAATACTAACTTTAATGTCTTGGCTCATCTACCATAATTGCACATTAACAACAACAATAATACCTCCGGGGCGCAAAGACAGAAGAGAAGACTGGATGTTGGTAAGAGGGTTTTTATTGTCTCAAAACAACAGTCAAAAAGTCTGACAACGCTTGTATATATATATGTTTAAAACGACCTTAAGGAGCACTAATGTCATTAATAAATTAAGACAGTGAACAGCCAATAGGATTTCATAGGTCATAAGTGGCATGAGAGAAAATCAGGTCATAAATCAATAACTGGTGTGATAGGAATACGAACATGCATGTAAAAATGACATGTAGAAAATTAGGTCTGTATATATCAATGACTTTTTTGAATATAGATGCGTTCCATTTTTCCTAAACAGTTTACGCCACATACTGTATTGTCCTAGATCTGCTTATATCCTCTGTGTTATCACTTTTTCGACTCATTTCTCATGAGTGTGATCAAGTATTTACTAAGCACTTAACATTATTCCAAATCAAAGCAGGGAATAAAAGAAGTAGATTTTTAGAATATACACAGTATGAATTCAAAAATAATCAAAATAAGCATACTGATGATCATAGACATAAGCTCAAATTTACAATAGTTTTCCATCACAATGAACTTATTTTGTATTATTATTTGCCCATATAGTATCGTCAATATGCTTTCTAACACTTAGAAACCTTCTGTAGAAGCTAGTGAGGTGACTATTTTATATATCGTGTTGCTTTAAGCAGCTAGCTTGTGACATTTTGCTTTCGTCTAAATAGTTGCATATTTGCTTTCAGATCAAAATATAATGATGAACTAATTTTGTGTCTAAACGACTTACAAGAATTTATACATCAAGTAGATTTCACTATGAGATTTCAATTTAGTCCGATTAGAAATCTCTAGGTTACATGCTCTTAACTTTTCCCTAACGAGACCACTCTGATATTGCGTCTATAATCTAAAAGACTAAACGCACGCCTTCTTTGATTCCAACATACACCTCGAGTAAAGCACAGCAGCATCATTAGAAAGAGAAAAAGAGCATCATTCGCTAATATGAATAGTAGACATTAAAATCTAATATTAAACACAGAACATAAAGGTGTTTTGAATTTTCACTGAGATTACATATCAGCTAACCATTGAATTTGAAGTTAGATATTTGAACTACAGATCTTTTTTATATCCAATGGTAAAGACAGATAACTCTTGTTATGAAATATCGTATGTTATTATCGTCTTTTATTTAACCTTTTTGCGTAAGTTATATAAGTGTAACCTTTGAGCATTCTTTATTAATTTTGTGTCTGTGTTAGCCAAAACTCATGTAACCCTTGCAAATATGTTAAAATTTCTTCGTACATATATATATATGATTAACTTTTAAATTTTGCACAACTGAAGAGGAACCAACGTAATAAATGATAGCATCATCCTATTTTGCACAAACATTTGTTTTTATTTTATTTAAACAAGTGAGGAATGACGCCTTCCTCTTTATTATATAAGAGATGGTTTTTGATTAAAGACAAAAACGCATTACTGTCATCATCACTGTTAGCCCACTTTCAGCTATTTTCTCAAAATACAGAGTTGTGTTTATAGCATAGACTTTGTGTTGGTTTGCAAGGATTTGACTGAAGTGCAAACCAACGCTTGAAAATTAATCCAATGCTCATTAGGGACTAGCTACGTGATGAAGTTGGCTAGAATTCCAGTGGTAAGTGTGATCAGAGGGTTCCACCAAGTTGGGCTTGAGCACAGCTACTCACCGATGACATTGGCTGGAGGCCGCACTACATCGCAATTTGATAGAAGTTACAATTCATGAGTCCCCTGACTCCTTCCCGGTAGCTGAATGTCAAACGAGTTCGCCTTGTAAGCTAAAGGTCCTAGGTTCTATCCATTGTGGGGTCATGGGTTCGTACTGAGGAAAGGTCCCGAATAGGGACGAAACAGCTGTCCAGTGTTGTCTAGATTTCAGTAGTTCTGTAATTAAAACCACTCTGATCAAAATGTAGATCTAAACTTTAATTTGACAGCCATGTAGAGAAATAGGGAAAAGGTTGTCTTCATTTGATGTCAACTTTAAAATGGATGTGATGTTGTGGTGAAAGCTGGCTGCTAGCCAAATTGGTAGACAGTAGTTTTCATCAATGTTTACGTCCCCAATATTGGTCGTGAGCAAAATATGAACAAAGAATGATTCAACAGCCAACCACAGCACACTTTGCGTAGGCGGATACAATTAGCAGATAGATGATCTGATATTCATGAAACAGCCATAAAGAGATGAAAGATTAACTTTTAGTGAGAAACAACCAATCAGAAGACTGTGTTTGTCAGCTAACAATAATCTATAATAATGTACATGAAAATCTATAAATATGTGTTGATTTCCTTAATAAACGATCTGTTGTCTGGCCCTTGTCTTCTGTTGTTACATAAGTTAATTGAATAACCTTTCTTAAACCGGATGCGCATGGAGTATCAGTGAAATTGCCCGTAAATCCCCGTTATTTTAGTGTTTTAGTTTTGACTACTCTTGAGTAACCTAACTCTAATATGACACTTTTGGTTAAATATTCAGTGACAGCCCAGTGCTCAGGAAATAAAAGTATATGCTCACTAACCTCGTTTCATAGCCATTTCTATTAATAAAGCTGCTTCGATATTAGATTTTGTCTGCCTTAAGGATGAATCTCTCAGTTTTTTGCGTATTAATTCCTCACTCTTTTTTAAAATATAATCCGTTGTGTTTTCATTCTTCGCATTTTCATCATCAACATAAAATGGCACTTTAGCACAAATTGTCACATCAGGAAAAATCATAACATCTTGTTCCGCTTTGATCTGTGTAGCCACACGACCTGAATCGTACTGTTCAAAAAGATTGGTAGCCATCATTATGAAAACAATCATAGTTACAATAAACACAATAATCCAGAATATTGCCAGGAAACCCTTTCTTATGTCAACATGTTTTAGGCCATTCTCTTTTCCACGTGCATGTAAAAATAGCCTATCAGCACGTTTACGATGATATGCAATATAGTATGGTAAATTAGAAACTTTTGTAGATACTTCTGTGAATACTGCCTCACCATTAGTTTCTTCACTGTCGTTCTCAATCTTTCCTTTTGAATGAGATGGTAAATACTCTTCAGTATCAACTGAAACTAGCTTAGGTTTAATCAGAATACTCATTCTCCCTATAACTGGTGATCAGCAATATATATATATATATATATATATATATATATATATAATGTAATACCTGATTTTAAAATGTCAGGAAATCAATAATGCTAAACATGATAAATTATAGTTTCATTATGGATAAAATTTTATTCCGATAAAATCACAGTGTTATGCAGTAATACTTACTGATGACGTTTTGAACACAATTTATCCATAACGGTATTATACACTACCACAGTGCCCAAGTTTTATCCTTATATCAATAACAAATATGATAAATTATATTTTTATGCATTTTGAACATTATCAGAAATTGTCCGATATCTTTATTATATTATTATTAATATTGTTCCCTTGAGTACCGAGTGGAACATTGGGCTTCAGCAACACACCTCCACTTTGTTATTTTTTCTGCCGTCCCCTTCAGCTGGGCCTAGGATTGACCATAATCTCTCATCTCTAACTCACACGATCTCCTCCATGTCACCCTAGGATGACCTGCTCGTCGCTTCCTGCTGGGTTTCACTCGAGTGATGGCCTGTCGCGTGATGTTGTTCAATGATCTCCTAAATACATGCCCGATCCACCTCCGTTTCCTCCTACATATTTGTTGAGCGATAAGCTCTTGGTTGGTTTGTTCCCACAGTTTTTTGTTACTAATTCTTTCTGACCATTTGATTTTCAGGACGAAGCTAGAGAAGGCAGCTGTTGAAGAGAGTCTGCAACTTGTTGGAAATCCTCTTCATGACACGAAAGCGATAAGCCTGACGTTGTCAGTAATATGCCGTGCACCTTTTAACAAAACTATTAAAGCTAATACGGGTTTAATTTATACGAAGTGGTAATTCCTAGGCCCGTCAAGCTTTACAAACTAAATAGATTTCATGGATCAGTTTCTCAGTACAGTCATAATAAATGAATACAACACATCCAGACCATCATGGAAACAATAGTTACTCCGGGTTCCCAGATAATGGACGTGAACAACCGCAAGATCTGACTAGGGAAGTTAATGGCTAAAGGGCATTTTAATTAAGCCTACAACAATAATAATGTGTGAAGAATAAAGATAAGTTTATGAAAGTCATAGAGGAAAACAAAATTAAATTAGAACAACTATACTGCTTATTTATTTCCCAGGCTAAATTAAGAAGTCTACTATATATGCATAGTATTTTTTTGAAGTGACACTTAGGGGAAAACCTAAGCTAACACACTAAAAAAAATTAGATGAAATCTAGGCTATAACTTATTTAGTCTCTAAAAGCTTTGAATAAGCCCTTCGAGATCACAGTATCCCAAACATGTTTAAACATCTTTGGTGTGCTATTCTGGCTATAAGTTTGTTTTAATGCATTCTAAAAAGATTCTTTTTTAACCATCAACTTTCGAATACGATTCATTTTTCGTCACTATCCAACTTCTTCAATCAGAGAATGTTTCTAGAAAACAATCTCGCTCTCTAAGATTCAGTCTAGACAGTAGGCAACAGACTGTTGTCATTTAGCTTAGTGATTACACTTCACAGCCCGTCGATATATTTCTAACAATACACTTAGGACCAGACTGTTAGAATGACTATCATCCGATGACCAGTTTGTGTGCATTTTGCTAGTGCTAGGTTATACCATCCCTAAGCATTTCATATCAGACGGAAATACATCAAGCCAGTGCTTTGAATTCCGCTTCAGACTCGTTACTTTAGTACAACTTCATCCCTGCGTATTTTTTTATTGGTACAGAAATCCAACAGGTATCATTTCAAAAAACTAAAGCAGTTTCCTTTAGGCTGCTAAGTCACAAGAAATATCACTTGTTCAGTCAATTTCAGTTGTGTCTTTTTTTATCCGTACACCTAGCAGCCGCATATCACTACAGATCGACCATTTTAGTCCACTAATCCAGACACTGGAAACATTCAAGTATTATTAAATGCTCACAGTAATTAATCATATAAAACTTTGCCAATAATTGTTGGTTATTCAGATATTGAAGGATCTGATCAATTTTATAGTCATAAACATATGACTGTCTTGACGACCTTATCAAATCATATTTCCACATTGCATTCATAGGCTATTAGTGCAGATGAACGAAAAGCACACATTATAGTCCAAGTTTTGTGTAGACTCACAAACTCACACACTAATCAGCCAGACTAATTGTTGTGTAACAACAACAGTAAACAGTCAGATGAAAGATAAATAGACAAATATTTTTTGTCTGAATGAGATAAATATTACTATGTCCTTTCTACTGAAATGTTTAGAAAAAAGGAGGGTAGGGAAAAGATAATCATTACACGAATTGGTTGTAAAATGATAGTTAAATTAGCTACCCGTATTCATAAGCCTTTCGTTTTTGGTCTTTGTATGGGTGTGAGTGTGTACTTATGTCTGACAAGGTGTCCGTCTACAGTGTCTACACCGCAAATGCCTTTTATCCATGTTATACAAAACAAAGAACCCAAGATGATTTGCATGTAACATGTCTGTTTTCTTTAGATTTCTTTCATCGAGAATAAATAATGTTGACATGGAAAAAGAACTATACAATGGCAATCAGAATTACAAATTAAACTGACGAACAGGCCATCTTACATAAATATTCAATGTCTGATAAATTTGGACTCATTGTGCAGAGGATGAAACTTTGAACAAATAAACAAAATTTGTAAACTGAATAAGATGCCCCTTTTCCAAAAAGAAGAACCGCATACATCCAGTTGTGGACCAATGAAAAAGTTTTTTATTTAAGACTTGTTTATGTTAATATTCTTAATTCTGTAATACTTCAGTTGCAACACACTACAACATTCCGCAGTATTCTTAGTACACTACGTACAATATCCTCTTTAAAGTTGATCGCTGACTTATTTAAAAAGTAGGGTAGATATCTTTACCAAAAATGACCTGTTTATTACTATCCCTAATAATATTATTTTTATACATGCATTCTTAACCCTTTTCATGAAAATAAATGTACTGCATATGCATTTTAAACTACCAGTTCATGTCTGCCATTTAGTTTCTGTATTTTCAATCTGTTATGAGATGAATGGACTGACATCACTGATTTCAATGCACTGTTTATCAAGGAGATTTTGTAATGGAGTAATTGTAATCTTTTGAACAGCCAACTTTTGAAATACTGCTGAAAAAAATAAGAATACTGATAATATTTCATGCACTGTTTCTATGGTAAACTATACGTGATATCACCGGAGTGTAATCACTGTCATTTTTTACCAGCAACACTTCAGTTACCTTCTACTACAGTTCCCCCCTCTTCATCATCTTATCTTCATCTGTGTTTCCGAATCTTAGTTGTTTCTGATAAGCCCTTATCCCTAGTCTCGGTGGTTGCACTATATATTGCCTACATGATTTTTTATAACCAATGTGCATCACATAACTACTAATTGAAAAATTTTGGCGAAATTCATAAAATAAATTATAAGCTTAATCACTTTTATTAAAAATCTGAAAATAAATAGATCGTTGATCGAAATCATTTAGCTTGGTTTACTAAGGATGGGATTTATAATCCTTCGATTGGTGATATTGATGCAATGTTTCTTGTAGGTGAACTGTACAGTCTTTAATAATATTAAAGAATATCTTATCAGCCGGTATTGCCTAGAGAACCATGGTGAAGCGACATCTAAAAGTCTTGGAAGCAAGCAAAAAGATGAGAAAATGGCTCCGTCCCACGGTACTCACATTTGATTAACTAGAATATGGAAAACACTTCCAGTTGTTTGTAAAAATTAAGTTCAAATCAAGTTATAACTGAAAATGGCCGCTTTCTGTCAGAATATCATAAACATATAAACAGACAAACAGAAGATGGTCAGGTTATTAAAACTCAGAAATACTGGAAACTTTCTTTCTTTGTATCATGGAAACTAGTGGAAATAAACAGTTTAGTAGTTAAAATATAAAGTGAACTAATACGCATATGGTCATTATCACAGTGTAGTTCACCATTCAGTAATGACCTGATCAGTGTAGTAAATATTTGAATTTGTATGAAAAGAAAAATTAAGGAGGGAGTTGATACACACTACTACAAAATTATAGACGTAGTGAATTTGCACATGTGCTTTCTTTCTGAAAATTTACTTCTTGTTCTGTTCATCTACCAATTGTCAAATGAAAATAGATGGTTTACAGTTCCAGAGAAATAGTCAATAATCAGAATTCATGAATAGTACATTTTTGCAAAGGATATTGTCATTCGATGTCACGACTTCCCACATAAATGTCTGAAAACATCAACTTTACTAGAGTTTCTCCACTTCTTTGGAATGCGAGTGATTCTGGAAGGTAATGAATAAAGTTTTACTTTTTATCCAGAAGATCATTGCTTTGAAGACACCTCACTTTTTTATAAATAGATATTTGAAAGCAGTCATCATGTCACCCTGTGAGTAAATTTAGAAAGTGGAACCCCAAGTCCTCACAATCCTATATTAAATTAACTAGCTCCACTTATTAAAGATATTGACGTAAAGTTTATTTTAAGATTCGTTAAATCTTTTTTATGGGTTGATAGTTATCTTTAATTGTTTAAAGTTAGGTCAACTATTCTTAAAGAGATTCTGAAACATGCTGATACTCGTAACGCTGTCACTAATACTCGTCTTTCGTGGTCATTCACATACATATATAAACAGTCAACATAAAATGGAAATTTTGTGGAATTAACTTTACATCTTCTAAGTAGATTATATTCGTGTTAAGCATTTAGGTAGTATAAGCAATCTTCTGGCACATACCTTAAGCAGTTAGGGTGGGATGATAAGATAAGTATTGAGTTTAAGTGTAATATAAAATAAACTGAAAGATTTGTCTTTCAATCGAGTTTCGCGCTTAACATTATCTACTACGTTAATTTCATACCAACTATTCAGAACAGAAATGATATGATTGAAATGATATTGAAATGACATGATATGACTAACCTTGAAAACTAACTTCAAATCTTCAATAATGCCCGCCAAAACATCCACCTTA